CACGGAAACAGATGTTGGCAACACGCCAGAGAATGAACCTCCTCCAGCAGCGATGTTAAAGTGCAAACATTTACAGCAGGAAACTTTCCATTTGCCTCAACTGTAAACCTACTGAGTTAACGGAACAATCTGACACCTGATTCTCTGCTAAACATTCCCATGATCACAGACACCCAAAGCTTCAATGTGGTCAAAAAGCTTTGGCAAACCAGTTTAAGATCAGACAAACAAAGCTTAATTAAATGTTGCATTTATGAGTGTTTGTATTATTGTTGGCACAAAAATCGCCACATGAATCATGTCTGCACTAAAATCTGGCTCAATTACAGGAGCTACTTATATTAATCGATTTCACTGCTCTTTGCGTCGCTATTGTAACCATATAGCTTACATTAGGTATAAAGCCTTTCAGGGACACATTAGGAAGCGTGTACAGGCCTTGAACAAGGTGCAAAGGAGATTAGCGGACTGATACTAGCGATGCAGATCTTCACTTATATGAGGAGAATAGTGGCAGCAATTGTTCTCCTTATAGAAAGAATGGTTAACGTGACATTTAATAGATGTGTTCAAAATGATGAGGAGTTTTGATGAAGTAGATAGGTGGGAATTGTTTACTCTTGTAGGTGCGTCGGTAAACGATGAACATAGATGTTAGAAAATTGGCAAAAGAAGCAGAAAGGAGGCGATGAGTGTTTTTTTTTACTCATGTAAATATTTCTTTATGGAATGCGCGACTTGTTTGTGCAATTTGTTTTCGATTTGCAACCAGAATATAAAGTCGATCACGTTTAGTGTGCATTCTGTGAGATGCTATGAGGCATCTCATTCAAACGTTAAGGCAATACATCAAATGAAATTTGTGTAGAAATATGTCAATTTCTAACCTGTAACCTGTAATTTAAAACCCACAGGATCGAGCTATAGTGTTTCCCAGTCACCGCCTGAACAAACTGCTGTTGCAGTTGAGAGAATACATTTACATTGCCAATACTCAGGGTTCTGCGGACAGGATTTCAGCGTCTCCTGGTACCGTCAGTCCCCTGGCGAGGGACTGAAATACCTGCTCCACAGAAAACCCTCAGGAGAGGGAGGAAACCCCACTGGAGATCATATTTCTGCTTCTCTTGACACTGCCAAGAAAATCAGCGTTTTAACCATCGCGGGACTGCGGCTGACAGACTCCGCTCTGTATCACTGTGCACTCAGTCTGCACCACAGGGATACACATCATAAGAAGCCTCGTACAATAACCCTCATCACAACCAACGCTGGGAAACAGTACAGTACAGTTAGTGACAGACGGTGCAACAGATCATCTCCAAACTGCCACCGTGCCTTACACTTTATTGAGCTCATATCAAGTCATTAAAATATGTGTAACTTTACTCGTTGTATATACTTTTTTCACCAACAGATAATAGATTGTGATAACGTTTTTTCGGAATTTAGATGATTAGTTTGTTACAGATGTTAATAATTGCGGTAATAAAAACCGAATAAAAATGTTATAGTCCTTGTGTTTGATGTCGTGGCGTATCACTTCATTGAGAGTCAAAAAGCGCTTGAGATATTATGATGTAAATGTCATTGTATTTCGTTGTAAAATCGTCGCAACCAACAGTTTCTTTTTTAGATTGCGAGAGGAGCTTAAACATTCTGTATGATTATGGTCAGTAAAATAATAATATGAACCAAGTCTCAATAATTAAAAAATACATGACACTAATATTCACGCAGAGAATCTGTGAAGTTATACTTTACTGTCAGTGGAGTCCAGTGCCTCAGTGGTTAGATAACTCGATTCGCAAGCGAGAGGACCTGGGATCGAATCCCAGGCTGGGAGAAATGTTGGGCAAGTTTCCTCAATCCGCAAACACTTCTGTTTTCTTAGCTGTGAGTACGAAGCCTTTTATAAGTCGACTGACGGATCATTCTCGGAGACAGTAAACCCTGCATTAAACAAGTTGGTATTATTACTAATTAATCCTTGCATTTAACATGGAGGTTTTCACTGATAGGTCCCTCAATAAACGACTGTTCGTGGGACACTGCTGTGCGCTCCTGCAGGAAACACACAATGACTCCATCAAATGCAATGATTATTATGTAGCTTACAGCAGATGAATTTTAGATAATCAATTATTTCAAATCACAATGGAAGTGCCTGTTACTGAAGATCAGACTGTAACACTGGGCTGCACCTACTCTGCTGATTTCAACAATGTTTTAATGTTCTGATAGAGTCAGTATCCCGGCGAGCCTCATCTGTAAACGCGGAGACATGATGATGACTTACTTTGCTCCGATATATAAACCATTAAGAGGTTTCACTACCTATCGAGTCAAACAGGGAGGGGTGTAG